AAARRAARGRRRAAAAAAAAATTAAGGATTAATACTAGATCTGGAACTGTACCAGCTACTCAGAAGAATATTAACTATCCCAACTGAAAYCAAGACACAGTTGAAGCTCCAAGTGACTTCTGTCTTGGGAAGAGACTGTAGACACATCCTGGAAAGTAAATTAAATGGCTGCTAGGAAGAGGGAAGGAGAAAGGCTATGGTTACTTGTTTGCTAAAAGGTGCTGGGAAATTTCTGTTGCTTTGAAGAGGTGTTGAAGAAAATGTGTAATAGTGTCATGGGACCCAGTATCAGCTGAGGCTATTCTGCACTTTCTCATGTTTTTTATTTGGTTTTCCTTCCCTCTGCCCCTCCTACTGGTTGTTAAGGTTTACTGTATAATCAGTTACTTCAATTTTAAAATAAGATGAAAGGAAATAGATGCATTTGAAATTACTAAAACTATTAATCAGATGTATGAGTTCCTTGATAAAATATTAACAGCTTGTTTAAAAAGCTGTCAGATCCCTTGTAATGTTTTGTATGGGTTGGAAAGTGTCTTTTTGAATGGTGCTAACAAAGCAGTAAAGAGTAAACTTTAATGTCTTGTTTTTTTCTCAAGGCAATATCAGTCCCCACATTTTTTTTCTTTTTTTTCCCTGTGGTCTAATGTAGGATAAAAGCAAAAGCTTGAAAGCTTTTTTCCTTGGCAGACCTTCTATAATAGCTTGGCTGTGAAGAAGTATCTCTCATCATGGGCTGAGGCTTTCTCCRACATTAAAGCTGAAAATTAACGGGTCATCTTATGTCCTTTTTGAAGTGTTTTGTACATCGCAATATTCTTRCAAACAAGCAGCTTATCTGGTTACTTTTGTATCAGTATGATCCACGAGTCTCTAGCTTGGTCRGTGTTACCTGAAGTGAAAGAGGCTTCTAGTTATGGGTCATTAAATCCAGTATTTGTGACATACGAGTTATCCTCATCTTTYCATAATCATTCAAATTCATCCTTAATAGGCAAGAAAAAACATACGTCAGTCTAAAAGGCATGTGGTAGCAGCATGGTCATCACTGGCTAATCACATATAATCAATCTATAATTAGTTAAGTTTTCGTAGAAGCTGGGCAAGGACTACCCTACCACTGGCTTTATCAATCTTCCRTCTAGTAAACCTTGATTTCAGTGCATATGAGGATATCTCTATCAAAGCAGCTGGAATACAGGAAAGCACACRTGGCTCTGGACTACTTATAGTAAATAGGTAAAAGATGGCTTTGTGGTGAGGCCATTCTCAAGACATAATCATTTAAGTAAGGGGAAAGATAGCACATTGTAGGTCTTATTTCTGTGTTTCAAGAATCCAGGTGAGCCAGTTGRAAAGTTTAAGTGAACACTTCCTGTGAAGTTTACGATTAATTCCATGTAACCTCTAGTCATGGAACATCTGAAAACTGACCTTGAATATGGAAAAGATGGATGAAGAGTCCATGCTTCATAGCTTTKCAAAGTGGAAGAGGTGTTTCAGTGGAAATGTTATGAGTCTCAGAAATAACTGAAGCAGGAATGTYTAATGCTTTCATTCCCTGTGACTTTTGTACTGATGATGATGTGCATGAATTTCTTCTTTCCTGAAGCCCTCCTGGTATTATGTAGCAAAGCTAGTCACCTATTAAAATCTTGGATAATTTTAGAACTACTTGATTTAAAATTAGGTTTTTTTACCTGAAGAGTACCTGATAGTACCGTTTTGACAAGTTTTTTAATTCTTGTGATGTGAAGTTTTGTATTATAACAAAAGCCCAGTACTGTTCTGCAAGTCTGTCTGTCTCTTCAGCTGAGTCAACAGCTTTCTGAAATAGCACTCATGATGGCAGTAACCGCTTGAATTTTAAGTTGAAGAGAAGATTAAGTAGACATTTGTTAGCTTATGAGTGTAGTGTCCACAGCAGTTCATTATATCTAGTCCCTTGCTATGTGTTTGGATGAACTTGCATGCATATCAGTTTTTAAACTCTCAGGAAAAATTSAAAATGTAATTAGTGAAAGCTAAAAATTAATTAGGAACTATGATCTCTGTTCTCCTTACAATTTTCTTCAGTGCTTATGACAAACTTAAAATAGCAATTAATTTTGTTTTTCAGTACTTATTTCTTGGTTGGATTAGACTGTTATTCTTGTTACRTATTATAATTTTGGCATTACATGCCAGCTGTTTGTATTTCAGTTCTTACCACTGACATTGCATTCAGACCGTGGAAGTTAAAAAGTTATTTAGGCAGTGTTGTTGATCAGAGGTGATGCATAGGGAAGGCTTTAGAGAGATGATYGTATTGTTAGTTTCAATTCTTTGTACATGAGACCTTTTGCAGAAAGGAACTCGATATATTTACTGTGGGATACAGCATTGTTTAAGTGATACTRTTGATAAYGTATCCCATCTGCCCTCGTAAGACMCCACCTGAAATGCTGCATTCAGCTCAGGTCCTCAGCACCAGAAAGTCATGGACCTGTTGGAGCAGGTCCAGAGGAGGGCCACAGAGATGATCAGAGGGTGGAACCACAAAATCAAGCTGAGGGGGCTGGGGTTGTTCAGCCTGGAGAAGAGAAGACTTTGGGGAGACCTTCCAGTACCTTAACAGGACTTATGAAAAGGAGAAAGAGGGGTTTTTGGCATGAGCAGATAGTGACAGGACAGAGGGCARTGGTTTTAAACTGAAACAGGGCAGGTTTAGATTAGATATTAGGAAGAAATTCTTTATAATGAGGTTTGGGAGACACTGGATTGGGTTGCTCAGAGAAGCTGTGGGTGCCTCATGCCTGGAAGTGTTCAAGGACAGCTTGGATTGCACCCTGAGCAATCTGATCATATGAGTGACATTCCATGCCTAAGGAGGGGTTGGAACCAGATAATCTTCACAGTCACTTCGAACCCAAGCCTTTCTATGATTCTATGATACCTCAAATTGAAGAACACCAGGTTTGTGTGGTAAATTGATATTGGCTGGTCACCTGGTGCCCATCAGGACACACTTCCTCCATCAAAACAACAGGGGAAAGAACATGACAGAAAGCTCTGGGGTTGAGGTGTAAGGACAGGAGATCACTCATCATGCCATCATGGGCAAAAGGCTCTACTTTGTGAAATTTAATTAATTGCTGATGAAATGTAGTAGGTTAATAAGAAAAAGAAAAAAAAAACACCTCCCATCCCCTCCCTTCTTCCCAGGCACAACTTTGCTCCCAACTTCTCTGCCTCCTTGCTTGGAGTTGGTGTAGAGAAATGGGGTGTGGTGCTTATGGTCAGTTCATAACAATCACGGTGCTCCTTCCTTCTCACACTCTTCCCTTGCTCCATCATGAGGTGTCCCACCCATGGGTTATGGTCATTCACAAACTCATCCASCATAGATCCTTTCTGCAGATTACAGTCTATAAGGGGTGGACCACTCCAACGCATATCCCCCTTCAGGTCATAGGTCCTTCAAGGAAACCTGCATGGACTGCAATTTCCTGTAAGGCACATCTGCCTGCTCCAGCATGGGTGTCCTCCATGGACTGTAGGTGGGACTCTGCTCTGCTGGGGATCTCTGTGGGCCGCAGGACTGCTGTCTCACCGTGRTCTTCACCACAGGCTGCAGGGCAATCTCTGCTTGGGCACGTGGATCGCCTCCTCTCCCTCCTTGTGCCCTGACCTGGCAGCCTGCAGTGTTGTTTCTTCCACATATTCTCAGTCCTGTCTCATGTCTGCTGTTACACAGCAGTTTTTACTCCATAAATATGTTATCACAGMGGTGCTACTGTGGTCACTGTGTGGCTCAGGTTTGGCCAGCTGTGGGTCTGTCCTGGAACTGGCTCTGACATGGGGRCCGCTTCTGGTGTCTTTTCATAGGAGCCACCCCTGCTGCTCCCCACTAACAAAAGTGGGGAGCATGTGAACCCAGTACAGTTATTTCCAACTTACTGTTCATGCTACTTATGATTTCATGTTTTGTTTTTCAGAGGTCAGATGATTTCAGGTGAAGACTGTGAATTTATTCAAAGATTTGAACAGAAGAGAAGTCCAGAAGAAAAACAGGAGTTGTTGCAAACAGAAGGCAATCAAGTAACTTTCTTTTAATGGTGTCTCTTTTGGACAGGAGGATGGAAGGAAACTTTCATACCAGCTCTTGTTTTATTGTTGGTTGTATACAGTTGTTATGGAATAAGTATGAAGTTTGCTATTGGGATTGTTTTATTTTTCTGTAAATATAGGTTGGATGTTACTTCATTATTTCTAAAAYGTACTAAATAATTGTTAAATGTCATCTGACTTTGGCTCTGTTGTGGGCTGAGCTAGCTCAAGTCTTTCCTCATCCCAGTTTACTGAGTCATGCACACTTGTACTTGTCACTTTTTTTTAGCTTTTTTCTTCATAGTTTGAGGGCAGCTACCACCAGTAAGATTGTTGTTTAGTTAGCTAAGCAATTCTAATTTAGTTACATTATAGAGTCCACTGACTGCTAAGGTGGATTTAGTTAGACRTGGTGTCTTGTGYYATTTTAGACATGGTAAGATATGAGACCTCTGCATTGGACAGACTTAATTCAGGACTGAATCAGCCCTTTGCTCTTATGGAATCCAGTCAAGATGACCAAAGACTCTTTAATGCTATTTGAATCAGTGCAATCTCAGCCTGAGGTTCTAGCACAGAATGCCAGACATCAAGCAGATTGTGGGAGGCAGGGAGGAAGGTGAAGAGTTGATGCATTCAACACACAAAATTTTCTAGCCATTTTCTCTACTTCAATTTTAGACTGTTTGTTTTGGTTTTTTCTTTTCTCTCCAAACTGTATTGTGTTACTGTTATGTAATGGATCATAGTTTATATAGTAACAAAAACATATGAGGTGTACCTTATCTGTCACTATAATATATATAATAGATATATATAATTATGATGTAGCAGTTCAGAGTTCCAATTTCTCTCAGTTTTTGTTGAATGTGGTGAAGGGGAAGGAGGAAGTGTACAAAGTAATGTTGTAACTATTTCAGCCTGTTGCTGAAATGGTAACATTCTTCAAAGATGAACAAAGATTTCTCTACAAAGTATATAGTAAGTCARCAGAGTTACCTGTCTTCCTCTCTCTCATTCAAATTGCTGAAACTTTTTTTGTTCTGTGTCTGACTTAGTGGCGGTTCTATCAATTTACTTGTTCTTCTCACTACCATAAAAATAAGGATGGTGAGGGAGACTTTTCTAATCTGACTTTCAACAAAGCATGTTGGTGACTTTCACTAGCGAGTACTTATTTCATTCGAAAGCCATAAAACAATTTGTAAAGGGTAACAATAAATGTGACAGAAAATTTTCTTTGTGAGATAATGTCAAATGTATTCATCTCTTACTGCAATTAAGTATTGGGATGCTCAATGCTTATGTAAGAYTTAACTGTGAATTAATAAGGTCTTRTTTTATATTATCAAAAGGAATGAAGACAATTGCTGAAATTAATTTTAATCTCTCTTATTTTTCTAGTGTGCTAAAACATTTATAAACTTGATGACTCATATCTCCAAGGAACAGACTGTTCAGTACATTCTGACTATGGTTGATGATATGCTGCAAGTAGGTCAATAATCTGTATTATTTTTAAGTCTTTAAATGCATGCTTGAATGTTTCCTTAGTGTAATTCATGTATCTTCAGTGTTTGTCATACAGTGTTAAAAATACTACTTTGCATTTTCAGATCTTGTTTTCRGAGATTACATGTTAGACTTAAAGTTGTAAGGTAACTTAGTCTTGTAATAAGTTCAAATTCTAAAGATAAAACAAATTTGTATGCWCGTTGTTGGTTCTCAACTATGTTTATTCAAAACTTGGATGTTAAGGCTAATGTTGCATAGTGGTTTCATTTTATGTGATGCTTATTTGCAAAATTCTTTTCTAAATACTTTTTATATTTGCTRTATTGACTTTATGTTGTGGTAGACTTGTCAGTGTTAGATTAATGGTTGGATTTGGTGATCTTAAAGGTCTTTCCCAACCTAAATGATTCTAAGAGTCTGTGACTTCTGACCTCAGCCCTTTCCTGTGATGTAGGGAGGATATGACTTCTCAGTTGAAGTTGTTGAAGCTTTTGTTTTTGAAGGTGTTAATTTGGTCACCCTGAGCAAAAAGGTGGAGTTTCTGCAGCTTCAGATTTCCAACATAAGTTGTTTAGGACAACATGTTGTGAAATCCTGCATGGTTTAATATAAAACAGGAACTTTTTATTCAATGTAACATCCAGCTCTTTGTAGCTATGGACAACAGTGGCTTATAAGAGTAGGCTATTAAACTTGGTCTCGGAACTTGTGAGGTGACTGGGACAACTCAAGAGGAGGTTTTACTCAATCAAATAATCCCACTTTTACATTTCTTGTAGGAAAGTAGACTAACAGAAGGCATTTGGAGTGGTGTAACAAGATGGGCTGTGTTCTGTGATGCTTTTTCCCGATATTCCCGTAAACTATCCGTGTTTGATAGTTTCTCTTCTCCTGTTTTATATTTGATACAAGGTTACAGKGAAATGTGTCTAGTGCTATTGGTTTAGGGTATTGCCCTAGGACATGAACAATGTGAGTTCTAATTCCAGCTCTCACAACTCAGTATTTCAACAGGCAAATTGAAAAGCATGAACCACTCCACAGTTTGTATAACGTGGGATCTGTGGTGATCTTTCAGGTGCCTGTCTGCACATCAGAGCCCTGAGTGCCCTGACATCTAGGATAATAAAGATAATAGCTAGTGCTGGTGGCAGCAATTTRTTCATCTGTAGCTTGTTCACTGTCTTTAGTTTTACTTTTTTTTCAAGTATGACACAAACATCGAGAAGCAGAGAGGACAAAATTGAGCCTCGATGTCATTCCTTGATTAGGRCACTTAGTTGGGAATACCATCTTTTGGTCTATGAATTGGATGACAAACTTTGGTTCAGTGTGTGAGGACTCTTGTTTATCATAGCTACTTTTTTGAGGAATGGGTCTTACTTTCTGTGCACAGCATCAGTGGCCAGAGAAGTAATCATTTTACCTGCCCGTCTTTGGAATTTCTTGTGAGTGTCCATAGGTCTTGTTTTGCTAATGTGCTTTGGTGTTAGCACATAGTCTGTAGCTACAGTATGTGATAGTTGATATMATCTCCTGTGCTGTGGAATTAATACCTCACAGGTAAAGGCTTTCACTGGCCCACTCTTGAACAGATGGAATAGTTCTAGGTAGTCATAGAAAATAGTTTTGAGTAATCTCTTACTTGCTATATTGTTTCTGTCATAAGTGGTCAGATGTATGTGTTTTCTTGACTTTATAACATGGCTGTATTTTGGGCCTTACCCTGCCACAGCTGTGGCATGTGTGGAATTCTTAATGTTAAACATAATGGCTTTAAATTCTCCAGGTTTTATGGTGATACTGGAGAACAGATATGTTGGTGCACACTGCATATTTGTTTTTCTTTGAAGCTGAATGYCTTTTTCACTTTAGAAATCCTGCTTCAGTATCTGAAAGGCTGCACTGACTTTTGCARTGCTGTGTGTGATTGCATTATTCAGGGATGACTTGCTGCTGGCACAGAGGGCTTGTGTTCAGGCATCCACGTGGCATTGTCTCAGAGTTTCCTAACCTGTGACATCTCCACTCAGAAAGGCTTAAACAGGACTTCTGTTTTGTTTTGGTTGTGTTCAGGGAATGGAACATACTGCCAGTGGTGCTTTATAGACCCCTGGTTGCACATTTTCGGGGTGTAAGGTTCTTGTCAGAGAGCAGCATATTGGCCAATAATGGTGTGACTGAGTTTATGGCAGGGTCTCTGCAGACTGCCTGGGTACAAGAACCCACAGTATCAYARAATCRTRGAATRGTATGGGTTGGAAGAGGMCCTTGAAGATMAYCTGRTTCCAGTGCCCCTGCCATAGGCAGTGACACTTTCAGCTAGACCKGGTTACTCAAAGTCCCATCCGACCTGTTTTTGATTTCCAGGGATGGGGCATCTCTGACTTCCCTGTACAACCTGTTSCAATGCCTCACAATCTTTTCCTAATATCTAAACCTATTCCCAGCTTGAAGCCATTWSCCCTTGCCCTGTGAATATATGCTCATATAAATARTCTTGCCCTGTTTTTCCTGTAGTGGGTATGAAGTCTCTGGTCTTTGTCTGACTTGCCTTAATTCAGTACCTTCAAAGATTGTAAGCAAGAAATTGTTCAAGGACATGGCCTTTGTTTGAGKCATGGTGCCATTGACTGTGAGTAAAGTTTGCCTTGAGAAAGTATGTTTGCTGCAGTTCCATGAGGTGAATGAGTATTTGAAGCTGCTTTTGACAGCTGAAACGTCTAGAAGCTATCACAGTATCCAGCTTTTGTGTGATAATGACTGACTGTGGTTCTTCTATTATCTTTCTGTGTTTTTCTTGAGACGGTAAACATTATGCCRGCTGTGTTTTGAGCTCACCAAAAGCCTGCTTGGGTGTCTAGGATTGTCCCAGCAGTTCTACTTACTGATTTGATGATCTTTCTAAGAAAGATTTCTTTTGAGTGCTGGCAWATGTGAAATTAGTGTGGTGTTTACCTTACAAGAGTATTGCTATTCTGCTTGCTTGTGAAAGTGGAGAATGTTAGCATAATGGCATTCTTGGGGAAACATTTCTTATGCCCTTCATCTGATAAATTCCTGGAACAATTTCTTTGAATTAGTGACCTTGTCACACTGTGCAGTCTGTTATTTATGAAATCTTTAAGAACCTACACTATAGTTGGTGCAGGTAGYGGTACCACCAGAGTGAGCTTCATTRTGCTTCTTCAGAAATGACAGCTGCTAAATTATTCAGCTGTTGATGTGAGAGCTTCAGGATTTTCTTTTTATCAGTGCAGTCAGTAGCTTCCTAGGAAGGTGCAACACTATATTTCAGGGCTGTGAGGAGTTTTCCCCTCCTTCCCTTCTGTTTTGATCCTACACCTTAACAGCAAACCAGACAAGTCTTTCTGACTGACAGCATGTTGAAATTATTTCGGCATTTCTGCTTCCAGACTTGTCTGTCTCCTCCTGAGTTATGTTGTAAACTGAGCTCATTGATCGGGTACGTTTTGATGTTTTTTTAGCTAGACTGATTAGCACAAACAGTTGCTAAACAGGGATTTATTTGATTGAACTGCCATTTCTCATCAAACAACCCCTCACAGAGTAAAAGCTCTCCACCAAAGGCTCTGTGTTCTTGAGATCTTACTTTTTTATTTCATAGTTTGAACAACAAATGTTGAGAAATTGCTGGATGCTTTTTTACACATGCCATGTAGAGAATGTGTAGTTGTAAAGGTTATAATTGTCAGATGACTGGTGACATCTGAGCTTTCCCTATCAGTGATCAGGGCAGCAATTTGCATCCCATGTGGTGCAGTACTATTGTGGCTTAACCCCAGCTGGCAGCTAAGCACCACACAGCCAGCCACTCACTCACTCACTCACTCATGCAGCAGTGGAATGGAGATGAGAATTGGAAAAGTGAGCATATGGGTGTTTTGAGGTAAAGACTGTTACTTTCAAGGAAGGGTTGGTTGAAGCTCTGGTGCTTAGTTGGATGCCACTGTTTGGATCATGGATACATTCAGGTCATCTTGTAATGATCTTTTTCCAGCCAGGAAGCTTGTCTAGCTAGTTCTTGGTCCCTAGAGTTAATAATAGGGTGCATAATTGATGGAGAAAAGCCTTTCTAGCTAGTAGTGTTTGAAAATTAAAATGTCTAGATAGCAGAGACTGAGATATTGTCCTTTTGTGAGTTTGTTTACTTTCCTTGRTAGGAGTTGTGTACTTGGTCGCAGTAGTTTGACTTCTGTAGGGAGACATCTCTTCAGAAGGAAAGCTTCCAATTCATCAGGATGGAAAGTATATAAAAATGCTTGAGGAAAAGCAAGAATTCAAATGTGAGATTTTTTTGGGGAGACTTCTATATTCTAGGGTATTAGAAAACAGCTTTTCTCTCTCCTTCAAGATTGTGTGGCCTGTTCTCTGGCCTTCTGTAAGGACAACTTTAATAGCTGCTTTTCATAATGATTATTAGGGGAAATACTGAAAGAAGCTGTCCCCAGTGCTCATATTCAGGTAGTTGTGGTCTCTTGTGGCTCAGGGTGGAAGCTCTGGAGAAYAGACTGCTGAACCAGTTGCAGCCTCAGGGAACTGAAAGGCAAAACTGGTTCTCGCCCCCAGAGTTGCACTTGTAACACAAGTTGAACAACAGGCTCTTGTGTGGAAGTAGAAATATATGGAAAACTTTGTATGCTTAATCAAGCATAATTGATCGGATGAAGAGTAGTGTTCCTCTTCTAGAATGACAGTATTTAGCTTGTTTCTTATTTGTCTTACTCCACTTGCACATTCCAAAGGTTATATATGTTTTTGCTCAAGCAGGTGTTGGAATACTGGGATRCAGCTAGGGCTTCAAGTTTTGTTTYCCTCACCCCAAATTTCTAATCTTAACATTGGAGTGCTGAAATGAACTCTATCCACAAGTAATTGTCTAAATGAAAAATTTCCATGGGCTCTTGCAAGCCAGGATACTCTCTGATCGTCTGTGCTGACTTAACGAGGAACAAATAACTGCTTTATGTTGAATGCTTTTACAGGACTGTTATCTTTTCCTCTCTTAATTTTTACAGGAAAATCATCAGCGTGTTTGCATCTTCTTTGATTATGCAAAACGTGGTAAAAACACTGCATGGTCTTATTTTCTGCCGATGTTGAATCGACAAGATCTCTTCACTGTGCATATGGTAAGTTTTAAATGAATTTGTCTCTGAAGAAGATAGAGGAAAGTGCTGATTCTATTTTTTTTTTTCCAGGAGATGTTGGAATTTGAAGCTAAGCTTCTGCCTGGACTGCAAAGTTTTTGTTTTTSAGTCTAGACAAGTAATTCTTAATACAAGCTTCACCTAATCTCATTTTAAAATGCAAAGTTATATTGTTTATTGACATTGGTTTATTTCTGGGAGATTAGAGCAGACTGAAAAAATTCAGAAATGCAGGGATTTTAGCATTAAGTACAGTAAAACATACCTGAAAAACTTTTATCACCACTGCCGGTCAATGCTGCATAAATATTAGAATTTCAGTTCTCATCTTGTGTGAGGGAAGTGTATTTACCTTGATGAGTCTTATTTTCTCATGCTCAGATTAACAGCTGACTCATTGAAGGTGTAGAGGGAGAAGCAGAAGTGTTTGATGTTGTGCAAGTGCTGCTCAGCAGTTTTTAGACCCTTGTACAAATTACTTAGTCTTCCTTGAATGGTGGCTTTTAAATGTATGATACAGAAGTTTYGATGATCAGCATTTCTCTATTCAGATACTGCTTCCTTTTAGTGCTGCAGAAGTATAGAAATAATTTAGCAAGTCACAGAGAGCCTCAAGTGAAGTGAATCCACTTAAAACACCAAGTTGACGCCATATTATGCCTTTTAGTACTCTTTGTGCATGTGTTTCTAAAGCWCTTGAAAGTTTTCAAAACCAAGTTTTAGGATTATGTTGTTTTTGTTTGGTTTATTTTATTTTTCTCCTTACTGTGCACACAGAAGACTTTTGATGCCTCTTTCTGGGCTTGAAACTTTTCTCTTCTTGAAGATGACTTCCTTCAGTTTCAGTACAAAAAATCCTTCAGTACTATGTTATTATTTGTGTTGGCGYGTGCCACAGTTGCTTAAATCAAGCCTGCTTTTGTTAGGCCATCAAGTGTCTTGCTTTTGACTGATTTCAAACTCTAATGGTGTCCTACAGCAGTAGCCCATTGATTGATACCATCCATCYGTCTCCTTCTGTGTTCTTTATTGGTGCTTTGTGAACTTCAGCAGCTACAGGTAACTGATAAAATTGTGAAAATAAACCATTTACAGGAAGTAGAAGCAGCAGAATGCTGAAAAGAAATTGGGCAAAATTATTGGGCACAAAGAGTCCCCTACATAGAAAACAGGTAGATTTCTGTGAAGGACTGTCTTTTATCTAAACTTCCAAATTTTACAGGACTTCTTACTGAATTCTGAAACTGCTGTRTTTAAAAAATCTGTTTATTGCATTCTTTCTCAGGCAGCAAGAATTATTGCCAAACTGGCTGCTTGGGGGAGGGAGCTTATGGAAGGCAGTGACTTGAACTACTATTTCAACTGGATTAAAACTCAGCTTAGTTCACAGGTAAAAAGCTATTTTTATTTAAACTTTGCATGACTTTGAAAACTTTTTCCAAGAGTATGAATGTATAAATGTGCTAATAAGCTATTTTTGGTTTTGTTTTTTTATGAAAATTTTCTTTATTGTTTTTAAAGCTAAATATTCTTTATTCAAGCACTCAGTTTTAAAATTTTTTACTCTAGYTCTTAAAATGTAAATTAATAAAAGGTTTTTGCCTTTTCTGTTGCTTAACACTGTTTTTTCTTTTGAACTCTGAGAAAATATGAGATGAAAGTCTTTTTTGTCTTGCCTCTATTGTTGTGGTTATCAGAGCGTTTTGCTGGGAAGAAAAATTACATGGCAGCAGAAATTAAATATCAAAACCTTTTTCCAGTTTACTGTAGTACAAAGCTTTTACTTTTAGTCTTGTGTCTTGAAACTTGAATAAATTCTGACTCATTTGGACAGTGTTTTTATGGTATTATCACAATAGGAACCATTTACTTCTGGCTTGTCCTTGAAAGAKGAATTATTTGTATTAATTTTTGTATTAATTTGTACTCCTTTGTATTATTTTTTTGTATTCGTTTGTATTTTTTTTGACATTTTTCCTTCAAAATGCAGTGATTTATCATGCATTCTCATTGTGTTGTAGYAGAAGATTCTGGAAAGCAGAGAAACATTCAGTAGATTTAGTAATGGTATATTTTTCATAGTTTTCAAAGCTGGGCTTTTTAAATTAGAGTTTTAATTTTTCCTCTGGAAGAAGAACCTAAAAATTGGAATTTCCTTCTGAAAGATTCAAGAGTGCAGTTTGCAAATTCTAAGATGAATAAATGACTTGAGTGAATCCACACTTCATTATTTGAAAATTAAATGTTGATCTACCAGAATCAGCTCCAAGCACATTTTTCTAGATATGAAGTGTGTGTGGGAAATAAAAACAATTTATTATGGTAATATATTGAGCAGGAAAAATAACTAATGGATTCTAAATATTTTTTTAATGACTAGAAAGATTGGAGAACTGAAAGAAACTTAGTGATAACTGTTCCTTAAGGGTGAAGAAGGGCTCTGATTTTAAACTTTAAATTTTTCTTTTCCTAGAAACTACGTGGTACAGGGGGTTCTGTGGAYACAGGAACAGTCTCCACAAGTGATGTGAGTATATCTTTGAAATCTGTCCATCTGCTATTTTGGGCAGGTGATACCCACTCCTGGATTAAGGTGCAGATCTCTTCTGGTGTCAGTGATAAGAAGTACTTGGAATCAGAACTGTACAACAGAGTGCCAGGTGATGGCGCCAAGAAACAAAAGTATTTTTAAACACTGATTTCACATAGAATATTGGCACTGGAATGTATATTTTATAAGTTAGTTTGCCTTGTTAAAGGTGTAGATGTATCTAGGATTCTCTTAATTAAAACTTGAAAAAGTTATATAAAATCAATTTAATATTTGAACAAATTTGTCACAGACATGGTGATCTTAGAGGTCTTCTTCAGCCAAAATGATTCTGTGATTCAGTACTATCTGTTTACCACTGACCTGTTGGACTTGTAGAAGAAACCTGAGACCAAGAAGCTTTTGGCTGTTGTGCTGTGCAGAACTTAGAAAAGGGCACATCACATATTAAAGTTGATATTGCCCCTAAAGCCACTGTGGCATGAAATCTTAAGAGCGCTTTCAAAGCTGTAAGCTTTTCATATTTGAATAACTTGAATTCMGAGGAAAATATTGTCCTTTTTGCGCCAATTTTTTTTTTTTTTAATATTCAATTTCTTGTAGCTATAATAGCTGCTGAGCTTGGAGATGAACTGTGGTAGTGTAACAAATGCAAATGATCCTCCTAACTGGATTTTCTGTGGTGTTGTGGCATGATGAGGCAGTTTATCATAGTTCTTGAATGTGGAGTAGAATTCAGTTTGGTCTTTTGCTCCTTCTGCAGCCTGAAAGTGGTYGCAGTTTCTCAGAAGAATTAACTGGGCATTTGTTGTTCTTCTAAATGTAGTCATGGTTTTAAAGTGTTAGCTTCCTGTAGAAGAGAGCCACTTAAATTACTGCCTATTTGGGGCTTAAAGTAGAAAAGATGAAAGACTGTTATGGATGGCTATGGATAGGGTGTAATTCAACTTCTATGCTCAGGCCATTGTTTTATTTCAATATTTCATGTGCAGATCTGTGTGCCATAATGCTAGATTTTGCTAGATTTTGTTAGACTGACAGACCTCTGTGATGCAGCCATGAAAGAGTAAGTAGTTCTACAGCACACAGCACCACTAGTTATGGAGCTGTGAGCTTCTTTGACTTGCTTAGAAATCTGTATTCATTGCACTGTGGCACTTCATGGATGTACTGTGCCAYGGTGGGGTCCCAAAGCAGCCAAACTCAGAGTGTAACTGTGTTCTAGGATAATTAAATTGGGAAAGTATTGCCTTAACTTCATTAGTGTTTGGGTTTCAGATCTAGCTTATGTGGGATTTTCAAGCAGGTCCTGGCTAATTTCACAATAAATTAGAAATGCACTTGTAGCATTTTATAAGGAAATAAGGGCTGGAATCTATTATAAAATTTCAATTATAATAGTGTTGGAAGAGGATGCTTTTATGACAGACTCTTTAAAAAGAACTCCAAGCTCAGTAGTGCAAGGGTTGGTGATGTAGGTAAATGAATGCATTATTTGGGTTAGGAGAGTTGTCTGTGTGTTTATAGCTGTTTTATTTGCTTGGAGTGTGAAAATGAATGCTTTCACAGGGAAATTAATGTTCTGGATGATTTGAGACCAGATGCACAGACTTAGTTTTTACATAAAGGACTTAAATCTCTCATGAGAGGCACAAAATGAGTTACTCTTTATTTTCAATTCTGTTTATTGCCTCCTCTCTTTTCATATGGGATTGCCTAACTTYTTTACTTCATTAAATGTTTAAAAGGTTTGATCCTGTATTATGAGTGAGCTACCATAAGACATTCAAGGAAAGGGCTTATAGGGGGGAAAGAAGCAACCAACATTTTATCAACATATWTGATTAATGTATGATTAGTATCAGTGAAGGTAATGCTGACAATTGAGTAAGAAGAGAGAAAAACATTCTCATGCAAATATATTCAAACAGAAGACAGCTTTCATTCATAGATATTAAAGGAAGGCATGTTCAAATGTTCTAATGATGTAAAGTGGTATCACTTGCATAACACTTCTTTAGTATTCAGAACTGTCTCATTTTATGCCATTAATGTCTGATTTGGAAAACTGTATTTCAACACTTACTACCTGACTGTTCTTGTAAGAAGTGATGCATTGTTCTGTTTACCCAGAGTTCCCAGTATGTGCAATGTGTTGCTGGATGTCTGCAGCTGATGCTCAGGGTCAAYGAATACCGCTTTGCATGGGTAGAGGCAGATGGAGTAAATTGGTGAGCATCTATTTCAATTTATATGGATATACTTGCACTTACAGTAGTACATTCCCCAGTGACATTTTTTGGGAATAGAACTCTTGTAATAGACAGCTGTTCCTTCTTTGTACAAAAGAGATTTGTTTTCAAACATTAACACAGTCAAATAGACAAATGAAACTTACGCTGTTGAAGCTTTAATGCAACTTTTCCATTCAAGAAGAACTGCTTAAGTGTGTATCTGAACAGGARTATAACCATTTGTCTTCAGCTGAAAATGTTCTGTTTATTATTTAATAGAACAAGGACTAATGGAATGAGTTTCTGCTAATCATCCTAGTCTTTGAGTTTGGAATTGTTCTGTCTGAAAATATTAATGAAAGGAGAAACATTTTCTAGAGCCAAGGTCATTTTTTTTTCTATATATGGCTTAAAGTAGGTAATTCTTTTATCCAGTTCTAATAAATAGCTTTGCATTAGGCTAGGATGTCAGCATTCATCTAATTTAAAAAATGCTTGCCTATAAATAATTTTTCTGCCATCCGTGCCTCTATTGGGGATTGTTGATATGTGATTTGTGCTTAAAAGAAAAATACCCCTTTACACTGAAATGGGGAAAAGTTAAAATTACTAGTGAAGTAAAATTTCAGATGATGTTCATCTGTATCAAGGTGACACTACTGAAACCAATGTAGTTTTTTAATCAAGTATTAAAGCATTACAATAAGCCTGTGTTTCACCACATTTGAACTTGTCTTAAACTTGATAAGAATGATTTTGAATGTAGATTCTTTTTTAAATTTTAAATTGAGTTAGGTATTTCAGAATGGATGTGTAAATTGCTTATTAAWTTTTTAAAACTTCCTTTGAGCAAAGCTTTTGCATGATTTCTTCTTGGAGATCTTGTGATACTAGTTTTTTTCTAGCAGTACTTTATGTATTTGTATCTATGAGCCATTTTCTGAGAACTTGCTGATAAATAATGAATATTTCAGCACATTTCAGACACTCCTGTGGACAAGTACAATKAAGGAAAGAAGTTTGATTTGTGTAAATTTTGTTCTATCTCTTTATTCCTTCTTAACCCTGAAGAAGCAGCTGTGTGTTTCTCTGTTTCTTCTAGAATGACAAATAATGCTCTAAACAAGCCAGTAGAAAAACTGTCTTGGTGAACCGGAGGATGGATACAGTACTACATGAGTTCACGTGGGAAAAGCAGTTTTATGGCTCTAAGGCTAAGGAGAAAATAACCATATCTTTAAAAGATGGCTATCTGAACAAGCTGCTTATACAATGATAAATAGTGATGCAGGTTACTGTGAAGTATGTTTTGTATACTCAGCCTCAGTAGCTCTTTCCAATAGATTSCTGTTACCACTTCTTTTAATGTTTCAGAGTAGAGCAATGAAATCTATGCAGTCATTATTTAAAAATTAACTGTGTACTATGTCAATTTTTCAGCATCATGGGCGTCTTGAGCAACAAATGCGGTTTTCAGCTGCAGTACCAGATGATTTTCTGTGTGTGGCTGCTGGCATTTAGCCCTCAAATGTGTGAATATCTTCGTCGGTATAATATTGTTCCTGTGCTGTCGGATATTCTTCAGGARTCTGTCAAAGAGAAAGTAACTAGAATTATCCTTGCAGCATTTCGGGTAAGTATCTGTTGACTGCAGTCATTCTGTGTCTCTCTTATAAATTCYTAGGTCTCAAATATTGCTTATGTACAGCTGTTTCTGCTGGACCATATCAGTAAGCTGATTGAAAGCTTAGTTCTCCATGGTTTTTCTTTTTGTAAACTGAGTTTTGCTACAGGTAATRCACATGCTGTTACTAGTAACAACTACCTGCTATTCAGTTCCTTCTTAAACTGAAAAAACAATGTTAACACAGGCACTAGTGATTCCTCTTTTTCAATTCAAGATTTTTTTTCCTACTGGTACTACTGTCAAACCCTGGAATTACTAGTATCTGATAAATTTTATTATATGAAGGTTTCATTAACAAAATAGTGTTTTGAATAGATATGTTTGTCCRGCTGAGGAATTTTTATCTACTAATCCAAAAATCTTTTCTTGGTGAGTTTGTCAAGGCAAGTGAGAATACCCATGTAAGAGTGATTAGTTGACGTACCGTGTCTGCATAACGTGAAAGTCACTAGTCCTATTTAAGATAATTAGGAATAACTTGATGTTTTCACTGTGAGAATACCATTTTATGTTCGTGGATGCTACTAGTTTTGTGTGCATGCTGGTCRAGTGTCTTATGAGTAATACAGGCATGCTGTAACAACTTGTAATGCTGTTTTAAAGCAGCACTTGGTATCCTGAGCAGGAACTGTAGGTCTTGGAAGCTGTTTGTTTTCCTGGATGTGGAYTGTGTTCCAACAGTAAGTGTTGCAAGCAAATTAGAATGGGGAGAGGGAAATGGTTGCTTACTGACTTGGTGATTAGCAATGATAGGGTGTGTGAAGGTGCGTACTCTGTGTCTCTATCTGAGAACATCTGCCACAGAAAGATTTCTGAATGAGGCMGATTGTAAGAATCTGCTGTTTGTCTTGCTGGAGGAGTACAGTGGTATGAGATCATCTGTAGAAGGTGTTCTTGCTGTATATGTATCTCTGTAGATGTGKTAGTGTTCTTAAAGATATTAATGTTAGGATTAAGCAGGGACATATAGCAAGACAGATTAGAAAAAAAAAGAAAAAAAGCTGAGAAGCTAGCAGTTTATGTCCAGTTTCTTCCAATTCTGAGGCCATATGAAGTAGGAAAAATAATTGCTAGTTCTTAGATTTACTGTACTATGCAAGAGGAGACAAAAATGAAGCTAAGGTGTTTTTTTTAAAAAAGGCTAAGAAAGGATAAGGTGTTCCTGTTACAGGCTTTGGGGAGTGTAACTTAGGTCTTTCCTTTCTCCAGCATTAAAGACTTGTGTTGGTGTGAAGACGAGTTGTTAATTTAAGAACGTAACAGATTAGAAATTAGACATCAGAGCTGTGAGTTGTGAAGCAAAATGAAAATAGGTAGCAGAGGTAAAATAGTCCTTTTCCTGTGTGAGATGTTGCAGTATCAGTTTGGTGGGGGGAAGGGAATTGCATAAAAGACTAGACTTTGATTCCCAAAATCTGTCTGTGCATTGCTGAAGGTAATCTATGTGTCTTGGCAACTTGGATGTCTTCTCTACTACTTGATTTCTCCTAATTTGATGTATTTCACCTTTTTGTCAAGTTAATTGCCTGAAGTCCAYAACTACAAATATAATATTTTTTTTKATAAAGCAGCAGGTATTGGGCAYTCCTGTCTCTTTCAATCTACTACTTTATCTATTATTTTATCCCRTCATTTTTCACACTTTTATTGGCTTCTGCATCTGTTTCCTGGTTAGGACTAGTTTTGCACCTTAACATTTTGGCTTTTATCACTGAGTAGTTTACTGTTCCATTCTATATAGTCATGTGTTTGTGTTTTTACTTTAACATATCCTTTCAAATTCACTATGAAAAGCTTGAGTGTCTCACTATGGTATGAGATAGGTAGCAGCTTCCACGTCTGCTTACAATTAGCTTAACTGGGAGTACTTTGGAACTTTTATCCACCTGCTCCTTAAACCTGTTGAATTGTCTTATTTAAGATTCATTATTTGTTCATTTGCTCTCATTAGCAGTTTTAACTCCAAGTAAATTAACATTACTTTCTGTGAATTATCTTTTAGTTCTCTCACTGAAGTAGAATCTGGGGTGGCTTTCATTTGCACATTAAATCCTATTGTATATGGCCATTAAAAGCAGTACTATGACTTATTTTTGGTTTTCAAGTTTTAAAGTTGATTTGCAGTGTTCTACCTCAGTRACTAATAGGATGTCTGATACTAAGAAACCTTAAGTATAATAGTTCTGTCATAAGAGTGATGCAGTAAATAGTTCTGTGACAAGAGTGAAACATAGTTTCACTGCTTATTTCTGGTAGAAGCTAAGTCTTATCTATACAAACACATGTTCTGTTTGTTRAGGACTTTGTCTTTTATATGAAATTCATGTTTTCAGCTTTATCAAAAAGTGCAGGTGGCCAGCTCTGATTGAAAAACATAATTGAAAGCTGATTAAATTGAGTAGAAATGTAATGAATAAATGACATTGGAATTTGACTATTACATTCAGTGCTTGCAATTCCAGTCTTACTAACAAGCTTCTGTTTGAATAAAAATGTCTATTTGGAATATTCCCAAACTTGAAAAGATCTGATCTAATCCAGATGGTAACTTTGAATTGGAAATAAGACTTCAATTTATTTTTTTAAGGCTTTCTGCTTTATGATGTTTCTGCACAGAAAGCTAAAATGATAATTCAAGATAAAAGCAGTTGTTTATAGTGAAGATTCTGATATTTGGGATATAAACCTGCCCTTTGAATAGTCTTTGTAGTCACCTCAATCTGATATGAAAAATATTCGGAGTAGGTGAACTACTACTTTCTAGTATTGAAGAGAGAGATTATTTCAGGAAGTAGTCAGTTTTGTCACATACTAAATGAAAAAGTTCCAATAAGAATTTCTTAAAAATACTGCTTTGTTTCAAAGTAGTCTCGTCTTAAACAAAATAAATATATCTTTATTTCCCTAGAATTTGTTAGAGAAATCTACTGAGAGAGAAACTCGCCAAGAATATGCTCTTGCCATGATTCAGTGTAAGGTTTTAAAGCAGCTAGAGAATTTGGATCAGCAGAAATACGATGATGAAGATATCAGTGAAGATATCAAATTTCTACTGGACAAGCTTGGTGAGAGCGTGCAGGACCTTAGGTATGCTTTGCAGTGTGCACTTCAAAAAATGCAGTTATGTCAATGTTGGTAGAACTCTTTTGTAAGGCTAAAAAATCTAAAGAATTATGATATGTAAATGCTATTTAGTGAGAGCATACAGAGATGTGCTGGTTGTTAGTTTCCTATTGTGTATCAGTATTTAGAGGGTGAGTAGAGAATAAATCTTCACTTTGATCTTTGTAACTGATAAATTGTTAAAGGACTTCAAAGTGACCTTAAAGGATTTCCAGTCAAAACTGAAGCCTACCTGATTAGAATAACTTCTAATGTCCAGGTTAACTCACATTTTTGCTGTAGTTAACCTAGTTCTTGCTCTTGTGCCTGAATTAAAGTGCATGTTGTAGTTAGTGGCAAATGGAAGGTGAAGACTGGAATCCTTGGTTGGGGAAGTTAAAACATAACCAGTAAAACAGCAAATTAAATTCCAAAATGTTGCATTTGTGTGGCTTGGGKTTTTTTTTTCTTGCCTTCCCCTGGGAATAGTGTTTTGGGGTGGATGGAGGGGGTATCTTTGAAAAATTTTTCTTCTTGCCTCTCATGCATTTTCTTATTTATAAAATTGTCATACTGTGCAGAGCACAGACTTCCAAATGTGTCATAGCAATTCAAGCTTCAGCTTTGCTAGGGACAAAGTTGGGYGTGTGGTTCAAAGCGTTCGTAGAAGCTTGGCCAGTATCTCATTTAGGTCTTATGCTGCAGCTCCTTTGATGAATACAGTTCTGAGCTCAAGTCAGGAAGACTGGAGTGGAGTCCTGTGCACAAGTCTGAGAAGTTTTGGCGGGAGAATGCTGTGAGACTAAATGAGAAGAATTATGAACTACTCAAGTAAGTTTTCAAGCCTTGAATCACATGATTGTTTAATATTTTCTGTGTTTAAATGAACCTGAATCTAATATAGGTTTTACATGTTAACCGAAGCAATGTCARTAATGAAAGGAAGTCAAAATATCCTGCTTATTTTAGAATGCATAGTTTGTTCTGTTCAAAAGCAGAATTGTTTATTTGCTTTTACTGGTCAGAATGTATTGATGATGGAGGGAATATCTCTAGTTCAACTTGCATGCAGGTTCGATTTGACCCAAAGTGTTTTGCTGTATCTTAATCTTATTTTTGTATTGTGTGGTGATGTTGATCCAAGTAATGAATTCATGTCTTGGATATTTGGGAGATGAGAGTTGTTGAACTGTTCCATGAAAAATTTGGTTTATTGCATTATGTTGCTATCTCTCTATTTTATGTTGGGACTGTGTTTGGAGTACATAGATTGTTACATGAAGTGAACCTGAAGCTCATATTTTCTTTTGCTGTCAAGGACTGGCTGACTGGCATATGAAATTATGCCCTGAAATGATACYTCGGTCTTAGTTGTTTAGCATTCATTGTTGTTAACTGATAATACCTGGTGTTCTTTCAGTTCAGGGTTTTCTAATAATTGTCAGACTTAACAGGAATCAGGAGGTTGAGTGGAGCATGTGAGATCTTGAAAGGCATTGCAAGAGCAAGATGATCCTGAGCGTTATGTGCATTTCARCTGTCCTGACACCTCACCAAAACAAGTCTGATAAATTCTTCCCTGAGTTCATATTGCTGAATATATGGGATTATAGACTTAAAAATTTTAGATGCTGGTGACTGTGGCATGAAGTTGATGTTGAGGCTTAGTATTTCCTGTACTGATTACAATGTTTTACTGAATTTATTTCTCCTGGTTCTGGGACTTTATTTATTGTGTTTGTGCTGCTACAAAGACAGTGATCTTCAATAGTTCCTTTACGCACCACCAACTCTCAAAACCTGTCCCCCCCCAAAACTCAACCCCACAACACCAAACCAAACAAACCAACCCACGAAAAACCCACCCACTCTTCATCATAGCATAATGGGGAGATTCTTGCACTTCAGAACTTCATTTTTTACATTGTAAGGCATTTGACAGGCAATATTTATTTGCTTTAAGCCATGTAATTTTACTTTTCCTTATCTGACTGCTTATTAGTTTACTAAGTCTAATACCCTTACACTACTGTTAAACATAATTGTTTTCAGACCTTCTGCCATTATTGCCTACTTTGATGGTGGACTTCTARTTTGTTCAATAATATTCTATGGATCTTTGGTGTCTTCTGATTAGTGTTACAGTTCAAGTTTCTGCTTCTACTTGTCGAAAACAGTTCTTTTCATTTGAGAAGTGCTTTTTCTGTCACTTTCTGGCCTCTAGAGAGACAGTGGCTGTGGTAATTTAATTTTACCAGAAGGTTCTTTTTTTTAAATTCCAGTTGAATTTTTAACCTACCTATTTCAGCTTATTTCTAACTTTCTCTGATTAGAACACATTTGTCATCTCACGAAGTGTAGAGTAGTCTCATTTTCCAGTGATCTGTATGTTTAACCTTTTCAACCATGCTTAACCTTCATAATCTGTGTCATTTTTGCCCCTTATCATTACTGGCTAGAGAACAGTGTTACTTATAGATGTTTTCCACTAAAGGTGGTTTAACTACTTAATTAAAAAAATAYAGACACTATTAAGAGTTGAGAAGCTGCTTTCTGCTTCTAACAGCTCTGTGTTTCTATGCATGCCAAGAAAATGACATGGTGCTGGARTAAATTACAAGATGATAGAGCTTTCATCTTCTCAGTCTTTGAGTTGGGACACAACTGCTTTTTAATGTAGGTTATCGAGAACTTAGAACTGTTGGTCTTGAAGCCAAAGTATAAAAAAAGAGATTTTGTAATCCTTAGTTTTAGGTACTTGTGTATGTAGCTCACTAAACTGACTCCAGTGAATACTTTAAATCATTCTGTTAATTAGGACAGGTTCTTAGTTTCATTAAACACAACTGCACGTTTGGAAAAAGTTCTAGCTTTACTGTTTGGGKGACTTGTGAAGCATTTTTATGCTTATGGGCTTTGTTAGTTTATCACTGATTAAAAAACCCTCAACAAATAAAAAAACAAAAAAAAAAATGAAACCACCCAACATTTGGGACTTGATTGTTTCAAATTCTTTCCTAGAATCCTGACAAAACTTCTGGAGGTTTCTGATGATCCACAGGTGCTGGCTGTAGCTGCTCACGATGTGGGAGAATATGTACGACACTATCCCCGTGGGAAACGGTAGGAAAATGCCAATATGTTTTTATTCTAGAGAGTAGCTGGAGTATGTACTGTGCCTGTGGCTGTTTTTGCTTATTTGATTAAAATATGCTACAGAGGCATTGCAGGTTGTGTTTAAGTTGAATTCACTGGGAAGATGTGGAAATACAAACTAGATCAGATGAGAAAATGCAAACCGGATCTTTGACTTAATACATTGCAGTATCTCTTAACAGTGAAGGGAACCAATGTTTAGAGAACATATTGAATACAATGTTTAGAATAAAGTAGAAGCCAGGTGCCASAAGAAATGGGAAGAACTACCAAGAGTTCAATCAATGTTCAATATGTTTTCCTCTGTTATGACTAATGGGACTGTAATTATTCGGCTCAGAGTAGACATGGACTAGTCCAACAATGATAAAGACTGTTGTGACTTAAAGACTAAAGAAAAAGTTTTTTCCACAAATARTTGCCCTTGTAATTTCAGTGATTCACAGATTCAGTTGTCACTCTTCCATTTAAGCATGTTTTAGCTGCACAAATACACATTTTGGTGAAAGTGTTCATGTACAGTATAAACCCAAATTCCTGTTGAAATATACACAGACATTGCTATAATTTCCTGCTTTAAAAACCTGTGAGCAAAGATACTGAATAATTGCACCTCTAAGAAGAGACCACTGAAGCAGAAAAAAGCCTTTGGTTTTTGTAGAAATCTGGTTCATCACTCACATGGGCACATGACTTAATTTTTGTGGCACAGAAGTGGTCTCTTCCTGGTTTCTGCACAGGGATTAATGGATGCCATGGTTTAACCCCAGCTGGCCACTCAGGTCCATACAGCCACTTGTTCTCTCCCCACAGCCGGATGGGGAAGAGAAACAAAAGTAAAAGTGAGAAAATTTGTGGGTTGAGATAAAGACAATTCAATGGGTAAAGCAAAACAGGGAATTAATTCAGTGTTTCCCATGGGCAGGCAGGTGTTCAGCAATCCCAGGGAAAGCATGGGTCCGTTGTGCATAAAGGGTATTTGGGAAGACAARCACCATCAATTTGAATAGTCCCGCCTTCCTCCTCCTCCTCCCAGTTTTATGTGCTGAGCATGTTGCCATATAGCATAGAATATCCCTTTGGTCAGTTGGGGTGAGTTGCCATGGCTGTGTCTGTGCCAAGTCTTCGTGAACCCCTAATCTGTTTGGTGGTGGGGTGAGGAGCAGAGAAGGCCCTGATGCAGTGCATTGCTGCTCAGCAATAATTGACACTGGTTTTAGTAGGAAGAGGAAAATAAACTACCTCAGCTAAAACCACTCAATAGGTGAGAACGGCCTTCTAGGCTTGTTGGGAATTTCAAGAATGCTTCTTGTGCAGACTGCTGTATTGACTAGTAGAATCTTGAGCAGCAGACTGAAACTTCAGGCCATATGTATGCTAGGAAGATGTGTTGACTCCAGAAATACTCACAGCCCGTGTAGTCTGTTAAGCAGCTTGAACTGAAATGGTATTTGGAGCAGAGGCAAGATATCCTTCAGTGAGGTGGAAACTTGCTGCCTGCAAGTGGCAAAGCTGAAGGACTTATTCTGGTTGGTCCTGCTTTGAGCTGCTCTTTGTATGTAGTAATTTTATTACGAGTGGTCATCCGCAAAAAAGAAGTGTCCTGGATACTTTTCTAACCCCCATTCTTGTCTCAAATTCTAATTCTTTAGCTGCTCTCTGTTTACTGACTTGGCCTAATTAGCTTTCTGAAACTGAAATGCCTCAATCTCTTTCTTTTAAAGAATTTAATTTGTAATCCAGTGCATTCTTACCAAATATGACTTCAGCAATTTTGGAACTAACTAAAAGCTTAAAATACCTATGGATTATGTGTCAGTTCCAGCATAATAGTCCATTTCTTACGTTTTCTGATATATAGTCATGTATTGCGCCCATGCGTGGTTGGTATTTCACTCTCTCGTTGCATGACTTACTTTAAGAATGGATACTCTTCCTTGGTTTAAAAGAGTAGAATTCAGTGTCTTAAATACTTTTGTTTCTGTTAAGTGTTTATTGTCAACTCTTAACTGGATCATCCTTTAGCCTTTGAAGGTTGCAGAGATGAATTGGAACCTAAAACTACTTGACTTTGCCTGCTGCACACAGTGGGACCTGGAGTTACTGTTCTGGCTAACCTCTCTATCTGACAAAACAAAATGTTTATTAAACTAGATACTGTGTTTTTGTATGGCTGGTCTCCAGTGCTTAAATAATTTAAAATTGCCTTTATAAATACACCTTGTGGACCAGATTGTCAAGACAGTGGCACTGTGGCCTTCTCATAAGACTCCCCAAGATGCATTTTCTGGGAGTGCATCAGGAAAAATAAAGTGTGGCACTGGTGTTTCCTGTCACTGAAAATGCAGGCCTCCAGCACAGCTTCCATTTGGCCCAAGTGTTATTGCTATGTACTACTATCAAAACTTTCTTGAATGCTATGAACGTGGGCTTTGTGTTTTACATGTATAAGAGATGGACACCTAGAACCATTCTCTTCCTTAGCTCATGATTCAGAAAAAAAACTTGCATTCCCTTTTTCTCCCTGACTTGCTTTTAGATGTTTAGTGTAGATTATATATTTGTTTTCTGCTCTAACAGTTTAAATTGCACTAATTTGTCTTTATCTTCCATGTCTTCTTTCTCCCTTCAAATGTGTCATTTTAAAACCTGAACCTTCAGCATCCAGAAACATTTTTGAAATGCTGCTATTTTGTCTTATTGCAGTGGTACTGTGGGGAACAGTTACTGCAGACGATGTGCACATGCCATAACTGTTCTACTGGGCTCTATTACTGCTGTAAAGTAAGCAGCATTTGAGTGGAGAGGAAACTAGATGTAATGTTTTAGACACATTTGAAGCTTGAAGGAAAAGGATTCACTGTGAATCTTCTTCACTGTTGAGACCTTTGGGTCTCATGGCTGGGAAGTGATTTGTACCTGTAGGCAGCMTTATGCAAGAATGATAATGCTGTTCTTCAACTCTTCATGTTCTCAGCCATAATTTCAGTGATGTATTGTCATCTGAAAGAGCCTATTACCATTTGTGATTATAGGCTTTTATCTTTTCATTTTGGTTCTTGCGTTCTTTTAAAGAATTTAAGCATAATGTAGCTTTTGAGTTTAATGTCTTTTTTACATTCTTTATAATTCCTGAAAATCCAGTGGTTTAAGTCAGTCCTAAAATAAAGAAAAAATTATTATTTGTGTTTCATACWCTTGTCTTTGTGTGCAGTGGTTTTATATATAATTCATTGAAAATCCGAGGCAGCATTAGGCAGGCATAAAGGTTTTTTTTTGAATGTTGCATTACTAACAACTTCTTTAATTCTTGGCACGGATTTTCCAGCTTAAAACAGATGCACTTTTCTGAATCCATTCCTGCTTTATAAAACAAATGTTTTAATGTTATTGAGAAGTTATATTCCCTGTGAGCCGAAGGAAGGTTTTGATGGAATTATAAAATGAAATTGAAAATTCTCTCTTTCATGTCTGTTCTSTATGTATGTTTTTCATACCTGTTCTGTAGTTTGCAAAAATACATTGTGTTGTGCAGCAGCAATGCATTCATTTGGCCATGAAAAGAGCAGTACTAAATGCAAACATCTAATGCAAGCCTAAAATGGTAGGACAGCATCAGGTTAAGCCTGAAGCAAATGATAGTGTCTTCACAGGACAGTATGTTTAACTACTAGTGRCCTGTGAGAGAACTGATGAAAGTCAGTGAGTAAATCAGCTTATATGTTCCTTGCAAATTCTCTCCAAACTTACTGTTAGGACAGACCGAAATGCTGCATGTGAAGTCATTTGGATGGTGATACTTTTTCAAGTTTTGAGTGTGTTGCCTTCCATTGTTTTTATTAAGAARTAATTTATTCATGATATGCAATGCAAGGCTTCATCAGTGTTTCTTGGGRGATTTGGTATAGCTGTTAAAAGGCTGATTATGGTGGTGAGGTTTATAGTGCAAATGCAGCTGAAGCATATACTTTTTCTGGAAATGGTACCTTACCAGCCAGTTCTGYACCTTGTGCAGGAATAGTTGTGTCTCTAATGCAGTTTGAATGTCAAAAAGCACTATATRTATAAGGTGGGTGATTTAGTAGGTGTTGGTGTGATTATAAGCATTTTTCTTAATCAGACAGTGACAAAAGGGATCGGGCTTTTATTCTTGCAAAAAATGGAGTGACCTGGTTATCATCCATTTGTGGGGGGAAGGGCACTGCCTCTCCTAACCTAGTAATTGATAATGCTGTRCCCTGCCAACCCTTTTAGAGAGCTGGATAAAGTAAATAACCCTCTCTGAAAAGGGTTCTTCTATTGAGTATTTATTTCAAAGTAGCAAACAGGAGTCTGGTACAAACACTTTCTGATGTTGTGATTTCTTAAAAAATGTTCTTTAAAAAAATCAGTAGTTAGTAGGAGATGATATGTATTTGTAACATGTCAAATAAGATGTCTGTCTTGGAAAATAAATAATTTAAATAAAATAAATATTATATAATTTAAACTCAACCTCTTAATGCTTTGAATTGAAGTAGTTGGATAGGATAGCTACCCCAAATTGAAAGTAATGTCAACAAACCTGCTTCCTTCCTGTTTTTCAGAGTGATTGAACAACTTGGTGGTAAGCAACTGGTCATGAACCACATGCATCACGAAGACCAACAAGTTCGTTACAATGCACTRCTGGCTGTGCAGAAGCTGATGGTTCACAATTGGTATGTGATGATTATTTTACATACTAACAGTGGGAAATCTTGGGTGTGGGGAGAGGATTCAAGATAGCAGATTTCTTTAAGGGGGGGAATAACATTTTTATTTAAGACATCAGTTTTTAAACAACAAATCAATATGATGCTCATGGTAAGAACTTAGTTTTTCTGTGTATTTTGGAAGCAGTTGAATTGAGTAGCTTCACTGTACATGGTTGAATGTCACACAAGTAATTCACTTGAACAATGTATTTTAGCTTAGGATGGGTATCAGGAAAAGGTTCTTCATGSAGAGGGTGRTTGGACACTGGAATAAGCTCCCCAGGGAAGTCATCAGARCACCAGCCTGACATTGCTAGAAATGTTTGGACAATGCTCTCAGACACATGGTGTGACTCTTGGGCTGGCCCTGTGCAGGGCCATGAGCTGGACTCMATGATTCTTGTGGTTCCTTTCCAACTCAGGATATTCTGTAAYGATTCTATGAATTTATTTGAATTTCTGCTGGAATAGCAGAAGTTTATGGGCCAGGTGGTTAGATGAAGTTGCAAGTCACATGCTGGTAGCTCTTTTATCAAACCTATCAAAATCACTGAGAATAGGGTTTGAAGTGAGGTGTTTCTTTTATTGTTTGTTGAATAGTTCTTTAAAAACCCTGAAGTGTTGGCAAGTTTTGCCAGAGAACTTGCTGRTGGCTGATGTTGCCTTTCCAACTGAACACAGAACCTTTATAGGGAAGCATTGAAGGGCTGAAGCTCTGAAAARCTTCAGCGTTCATGTAGCAACTTTATATAAGTTGCCAGGCTAATTAGATATGCTAAGCATAAAGCAGGGAGAGTTAAAATTAGGAGTTTTTAATCTGATTATTACTTTGAGTGCACCAGAGCTCATATTTTCAATTTGGCATTGCCTTAAAGGAAGGTAAAATACRGCAATACATSTGAGTATATTGGAACGTAAGTGTTKGGATRCAAAAAAYKAACTTTGAATTTAAACAACCTTTTATTTCTGACAAACTTAGTGCTTGGACATATCTGTAACTTCTGTCAGTTTTCTCACCTATGACAGAATATGATCTTTTTGAAAGGTTGAGTAGGGATGATACCAGCAGTGTGAAAGTGGTCAGGGAGCAAAGTCTACCAAGCACCTTCTGACAGGTTAAGTCACTTCCTTGCTGTGACAGATTGGCTAAGTTGACTTCTGCAGTCTATCTTAGTCAAAACTAAGCTAATCTTCTCCATTTTCTTCTGAAGAATATGGGTTTTAAGGTTTTAACTCTCATGYGTGTTATATTAATTTTATCCTACTYCCTCCCTCTCACATACTGTGGGAACCTTTTATAACAGAAAAGCACATTTAAATACCCTACTATGAAACATCATACTCTTCACCTGTAAGTACTACTTTGATAAATAACATGGAATTTCTGAGCATGTGGAGATGGAGACTAAACACAAGTCATGTTCAACCTAGTTTTTGGTCATTGTTGTATATTATCCACCGCCCTGCTTCTCAGTTTGRTACATTTCTTTTCTCACTATTCTGTTCTGATATGTTTGAAGCAATCTGAGTATAACAAACCAACTGTAACTAAACAGACATAACATGGAAGGTTTAGTTGCTGATACTACCTTCTGCAGTAGGGACAGGTTTTATTTCATATGTGTTCTGATGTCTTGAAAATGTGGTAGTAAGACCTTTGGTCTTTTCCCCAGCACAAACCTCACTGGTAGTAAAAGTTTTCCTGAATGCCAAACCTGGCTTTTTCTCACTTTCAGTGTGATAATATTACTTGTAAAAAAAAAACATCACATCTGGTCTTCTATATTTTTTTTTTGTTTTTTAATGGTATTAGCATTTCTGTGCCTGCTTTCCACAGTTTTTGAACCTTTAGACTTGAGACTGAGAGGGAGATGGTGAAAGTACCTAGTTGCAGATCCTCAGAGGTGTCAGTAAAAAGAATCTTTTTAAGTTAGTGCTACTTTGATTCATATTGTCATYTCTTTTAGGGAATGTTTTCTTGTTTAATTTATAATTGAACAAGCCTCTGGGACACATTGTCCTTGGCTCATATTTGTCAAAGTAGTGTACCTGCTGGCACGGACTTACAGCTTAAGCTAAGGAAATGACACACTGTTTTTATGTGGGAAGCTACATCTGTCTTTGTGTAGRTCTGGCTTTGGATGAGTGTGGGGAGCTCTTCTGTTTCATTGCTCTCTTCTCTCCACACAAGCTGAGTCCCCTGACTGCTGCACACTGCAGTTTAAGTGCCTACTTACTAAGTTTTGCTTTGTCATAAGATGTATTATTCAGCAACTTCAGGGTTTTGCTTACCTTGCTCTTCAGCTCTGGGGAAACAAACATTTTTTCTCTTGCTTCCACTTATTCTGGAATTACAGTTATTTCACTCAAAGCAATTGTGTTTTTTCCTTGAATTTCATTGGCACAGAACAACTTGGTATTGCTGTGTGTTACACGTGTGACATAGGTAGTCAGGCTTTTCCTGAAGGCTAACTGAGAGAAGGATTAGAAAATAAAGCTTTACCATAGGGAGGCTTGGTGCAAGTGCTGTGCCTGGAGCCAGTAGAATAAGGAAAACCTGTGGTACTTGAATTGACGGAGTGCCATGGGGCAGCGGAAGTAGCATTCTGCCTAAAACACAGCTGTATCATTCAACTGTTAACTCAGCTTAGAGACAATTAACTCCTAAGTAGTTTGAGTAATTCATTACAAGCTGCTCAACTGGCTTTCCATTAGGGCTTTTAAAGTCAGGAATAAATGGGGGGGAAATAAGACTGTCAGTCATTCTCTTAAATGGTGAAGGTATGTTGGCAAAAACAGTAACTGCTGTCAGCTTTTCAGATGAGATAGTTCAAGTGAAATATTCCAGTTACATTTGCATGTTAAATGATCATGCACTTGATGCAGTGAGGAGCAAAATTATCTTTTTGGCATCKCTTAATGCCTATACATGGGAATTAATCCTGAGTTTCAATCTGACTTGAACTGTGTTAGTCCTGGCACTCCATGCTGACAGTAAGAGCCTGTATAGTTATTTGACCTTGGGTGGATGCATCCACCAAAGCCACTCTATCTCTCCTTTCCATGGCTGGACAGGGGAGAGAAAATACAATGAAGGATTCCTGAGTTCAGTAAGCGCTGGGAGAGATCACTCACCAAACACTGTCAAGGGCAGAACAGGCTTGAATTAGAGATATTAATTGAATTTATTATTCACAAAAAAACAGAACAGGATAATAAGAAGTAAATAAGACCTTAAAAACACTCTCTCTCCACCTGTCCCTCCTTCCCATCTCTTCTTCCTCCCCTAGGGGTGYAGGGAGATGGAATGGGRRTTGTGGCCASTTCAYCACATGTTTYCTCCCACAGGTTAGGGAGAGGAGGCCTTCCCCTGCTCCATAATGGGGTCCCTGCCATGGGAGATAGTTCTGCATGAACTTCTCCAACATGGGTCCWTCCCACGGGCGACAGCCCTCCCCAGACTACTCCAGATGGGTCACTCTTCTGTGGGGTGCAGTCCTTCAAGGACAGGCTGTTCCAGTGTGGGTCCCTCCACAGGGTCATAAGTCTTACCAAGAAACTTGCTCTGGTGTGGGCTCCTCTTTCTGTGGGTCTGCAGGTCCATGTCAAGACCCTGCTCCWGCACAGGCTTCCCAYGGGGTCACAGCCTCCTCTCAGGTATTCTCCTGCTCTGGTGTGGGGCTCCTCACTTCCTCCTTCATACCAACATGAAGGGTATGAGTATATTGGCAGGGGCTAAACAGTATAGATGTAAGATGTATCACTTAAGCATGATCAAGTATGGTATGGAAATTGAATTCATAAATAGCATACTGAATGAAGCAACAAATCGGACAAGCTTTGAATATGCAGCAGGTTCATACATGATTATCTAAATGCGCAGCCCAGACAAAATTACTTGCTCTCCATCTTTTAAAATGAGGAGTTCTGCAGAGAGACAGTAAAAAATCTGGAACTGCTTAGGATTTGCAGTATACTATACTTAGAAACTACTGTTCTRTAGGTAGCCTCTGTACAATGTACTCCCTCATTTAGGAATGAGAAGTGCAGGGTGTAGTGATATTTAACTGGCAACCAGCAAGCCATCCCATATTTTTCCCCCATCCCAACAATGAGGAGTGGAATGCTTAATAGAGTAGTACGCTTAAATCTGGGAAACAGTGCCTACAGGATAATGACCTCCATTATATTTATTTGCCCTGTTTCTTAGCTTTCATCATCAATGCAATTCCCTTTAAATAGTTAACAGAAGTTAACTAACTGAAAAGTTTGAGAAGTGTACCTGGTAAGAACTGGTATTTTTTAAGAGAACAGTTTCGAGGTAGAATGAGAAAAGTTAAGCAAAAATCCAATTAGTTACAGGCACAATTGATAWCTAGTGGAGTGTTCCATCTTTTTATTTGAACATAAATATGTATTCTTGTAAAACTTCACTCCTTACAGGTAGGTGCTGGGGTTCTTATTGGACATACGCTCCCTGGGACTCATGCTGTGCTTGTGTTTTCTGTCACAAGATCTGTACTCTTTGCAAAACCACGTTAATATTTCTAGAACGTATGTTAGTGTGGAAAATATCAGACATTCTGCTCAGTCTGTATTTTCTTTTTTGAAAGATGCTCTTTTTCGTGAACTATGCTGATAAGTATGTCACCAAAGAAGTAACTTTTTGATAGCTTACTTCTGATTAGTTTTCTTTAAAGATTTGATTCTTGATGGGAAAATTCATTTAAATATTATTTATGTTGTTCATTCTGACATATGCTGGGCAAGCTCTTAAATGTTGAAAGCAGCAAAATTCTTTGTGGTAACTGAATCTTCTGATCAAGTATAAAACCRTTTTCAAACCACATTACATGGCTTAATCAAGTGGTTTTTTTRAATTCACAGAATAGCCCTGTCTAAGTGTTACCTCACAGTGCATCTTGTAAGTGAAAAATGGCTCATGCTTTGTCCTCCTAGTAGAA